GTTTTCATTCACCATCTGACCACAAAGTGACTGTCAGATCAATCTGACGAGTCAACAGCATGTTGGCCGTTCAGGGTTTAATATTCAAACGTATTTTATTGAATGTCAATGGGAGCCAAATTTACCAGATGACCTAAACATTCAGTTGAACTGGGCCAACATTGAAGCCCAATTTGCTGAGAACTGACTGAGTTTACAGCAGATGTGTGAAGAAACGCAGGCTGCTCTCATTCTGTCACTGGAGCCTGTTTAGATTGTTCTATAAATGTTTTCTCGCAAATGTTTTTCTTGTAAACTGTGTTTTCATATCCTTCATTTAGATATTTTTCTGAGACTTCCCTCACACTCAAAGTTCCTTTTCTACGCTGAAGAAAACCAAATGACTTATTTCTCTATATCTGAACCGAAGAGTCTGTTCTTTCATCAGCTCTGCATGTTTATTACAATGTACAGAGTTCACTCTTGTGCATTATCACTTTGACTCGCTTCGCTTTCTGGATTTAAACATTCATCACAATTTAGTAGGAAATCCTGATGAGGTGCTTTGCTGTCAGTCCTGCTGTGTTTGCAGCAGCAGACGATGTTTCCACATCATGACTCTCTAGTTGCTGTTTTCATTCACCATCTGACCACAAAGTGACTGTCAGATCAATCTGACGAGTCAACAGCATGTTGGCCGTTTTTGGCATGTTGGCATGTTGGAATGAAGTTGGATTTCTCAAAACAAGAAGTCAAGTATCAGGTTTCAATTTGGCCTCTAGGGGAAAAAACACATAACGTGTTTTACCCCAAATCTATATTTGTCAATCTAAGATGAACATTTCTTATTTATCTTGAATGTAACACTGACTTTTACTCATGACTTATTCATGTGCTTCAAAAAGCATTAAATGATTTATTTTTCCCAAAATAATTCAATAAAATTCATCATTTTAGCTGAAGACGTTTTCATTGTGTCACATCTTCATTAAGCTCCTTGCAACACGACAAAGATCTGATCTAAAATATGAAACACTGAGAGGAAGCTCATGCAGTGAATTTTAAAGGTATTTGACTTTAATTGTCCATCCAGTCAGAGCTGATAAAATATTAGCAAAGATGACTGACATACATAAAATCTGTCAATCATAATCAGTCAGAAATGTTCATCAAAGTCTATCCAGATTATTCATAAACTTTATTCATTCTTAACTTTACAAAACAAACAGATTCATAAATATATGATGAGCAGTACCCTTTTCCCCTAAATCATTTTGTTTAATTATCTTTTTTTTTACTTATTTCCTAAAATGTGAATCCAAACGCAGATTAGATAAAATTTCCTGCTCGTTACCTGCTGCCATGAGAAGGACAATAACTCCACAGATCGCTGCAGAGAAACTCATAGCTGCTCCTTTCATCTCTTTAAATGAACCAAAAAAGGCAGAAACTCTACTTTAGTCTGCAGAACTTTATGCAAATGACACAAAGATGTTGTTGAGAATGAGCTCAGTTTCCTTCCTCTTATCAACTGTATGTGTGAACAGCTAATGGGAAAACATGATGTTAGCAGATGACCTGTTGAGAAACAGGAACAGTTTAAAAACTTCAACTCTGATGTAGACAAAACAAGAAATTCCTTATGTTCAGTTTTTATAGTTAAAGAGTAATGCTTATATATTTTGTTAATTGTTTAAATGGATTTTTCAAAAATCATTCTTCATGTGGCCAAATATTGTGTTGGATTTGACGTGGATAAAAGTTTGTTTGAGATGAAACGCGAGGAAATAAGATGTGAATCCAGGAAGTTCCTAAGAAGAGCAAAGGAAGGCAGGGAGAAATATCTGGCAGATATTAACATCCTTTACTCACTGAATTTTATTTAAATATTATTACATTTGTCTGGCAACTAGTCAGACTAGTCATTGTTGCTGCTGTTACTGTTTGGCATGCTCTGTTGAGAAATACTCTTCTTCCATTGGTCACATTGATCCTCACTCTGCAGAGCTGCTGCCCTCTCCTGGTCATATTCTGTATTGCATTCATCTTCTACTGCACCTTGTAAAAACTATTCATGACTCAACATGAAGCAGAACATGAAGTGGAATGAACGTGGCAGGTTGTTTTTTTATCATTTAACTAAAATTTTTTTTAAATATCTTAAATTATTGTTATTTTTAATTTGCTCCCTTTACCTCAATAAAGGCTCTTGTGTAAATTTCACCTAAACAGACAAGAGTCTTGGTTCCATTCTTATTTATAAAGTTTATTTAAAGTGAATTATAAGCCATCTAAAAATGTTGCAGAAAAAGTGAAACCCAGATTCAAAAGCACACATGAAACAGGATTCCTCCATTCCCATAGAGGGCGCTATATAGACTGAGAATGTAATGCTTTAGAAATAACCGGATGTCACCTGAGTGATGTTGACACCCCCACCTTCTTCAAATCAGACAAAACTGGTGCCAAACGTTTGTGCTGCTATTATTTTAAAGACATAAAGAAATGTTTCTAGAGGTCATCAAAGGTCAACCAACCGCATCATCAGTTCATAGTGGATCTGTGAAGGTCATTTGAAATTGTGAACTGCTAACCTATGAACACGAATAATTTAATTTTAACGTTGATGAAATTCACTGGAACAATGTCTTATTGAGAATGAACCGTTACAACACCTCCTAAAACACAGATGGTGTAATTTAGTTTCTGATCAACAGAGGGCGCTATTGGACAAACTGTACGAAAAGTCGGTCTGGACAGTAACTATCTAGTCTGCTGTTTCCATCTCAATTTCATGATCAGCAGTCATCATCAACACTTATTTTTACGACTTTAAATCAGTGCACAAACTGTTTATAAAAGAACTGATATTCATTGACCTTTGATGACCTTTAGAAAAATGTTTCTTAATATCTTCAGAATGATAGCAGCACAAACAAAAATGTTTGCTGCACAAACCAGTACAAACTTTGTCGAGTTGATTGGCAGCCATTTTGTCTGATTTGAAGAAAACAGCTTATTCCAGTTTTCCCAGACTGTTTTAATTCAAGTCAGCTCTACGTTTTAGCACTATGGGGTCCCACAGTGACTCCAGGAGGGGCTTTGACTAAACCACTTTAAAACCTCAGCATGTGCTTTTAAGTAATTACAAGTTTCAGGAATCAGATACTTTCATTATTAAATGAAAGAGGCTTTCAGTTTATAAACCTAACAAACACTCCCAGATATAAGAGTTTGATTATGAAAAGAAACATGAAGATTTATTAAAAGCAAAAAGCAGATCAAAAACAGCAACACAAACAAAACCATATTTTTATCAACTTTCTAAGTTTTTATATGAGCAGATAAACATAATCAATATAAAATGAGGGATTACATATCAATATATTAACATGAAATATCAGAGTACAGTCTCTGTGCTCCACTCTGTTACGACCTTATATGGACTTCCTCTCTGCTTCTTCTGGTTTCACTCCAACCGTCTTCTTGGTTACGGGTCGTGGTGAACTGGGTTCATGACCCCTCCATGGTTGACCTTGACCTGGTGAATCCTCTGTAGCCTCTGCTGGACGTGAACTGAAGCAACTGCATCCAAATAGTGTGAAGGATAGAGGGCTGACCTCTGACCTTTCACCTTTCTTTATGCTATTGGCTCGATTCTTTTACATTTTATAACAATTGTTACAATTGTTCTCACTACTTGCAGTTTCTCTAACTTCATTTTGGTGAAATCCAGCTTTGTATATTTCTAGTTTTTCTGTTCATACGTATATAAAATTAGTTTAGTTTAGAGCAATAAAAGCTATTTGTGAATTAAGTTTGTCATTTGATGGAATTCATAATGCTAAATGAAGCCAATAATAATAATAATAAAAGATTAATTAGTTTAAAGGAATATTATAGCCATTTTTAATGTAATGAAGCAATGGTTCTCTATTCATGTAGGCGACACCGGAAGGATGCGATCGTGGAAGTATGTTGTATATGAAGTATATAAAATCCTGATTGTTCATAAATGCTGCAACATTAAATGGACAAAACATGATGTATGTTAGGCACCAGCTGCAAATGAAAACAAAACATCAATATTCCACTCATGTAAAAAAAAAACACAACTCTGAAATTGACTAGTTTCGATAAAATAAACACAATTCAAACCACGTATGAATAAGTTTGGTCACAAGAAGAGTCGTTAAAAACCATCATCCTCCAACCACTCCAACCACTTCCTGTTTTCTTCTTCATGGTTTGTGCCAGTGGCTGCTGACCATATGACTTTTTTGTTGAAAAATAAATAAATAAATATAAATAAATAAATAAAAAAAAAAGTATTTCCATTGCATTTTTGTAAAATAAACCAATTTTGAGAAAAAAAATATATATATTTCATCTCAGGTGCCAAAATCTTTTATTTTTTTAAATTAAAGGTTTCCCCCCTGGCTAATTACTTTTAGCCAAGGGTGCCAAACTCCAGGCCTCGAGGGCCGGCGTCCTGCAACTTTTAGATGTGCCTCTGCTGGACCACCTAAATAGAGTAATTAGCTCATTAAGGCTCTGGAGATCTTATCTATATAAACCATTTTATTCCTGTGTTTTGTACCTGTGGCACATCTAAAAACTGCAGGACACCGTCCCATGAGGACTGGAGTTTGACATCTGTGCTTTAAGCAAATGTATTTTCAAAATGTCAAATTGCATAATTATTTGGTCAATGGAAACGCAGCTAATGGAAAACAACATTTCTCTCTTGTTCACAGTAGAACAGTGCAGTCTGTGAAGCTAGTCATTAAGTTAGAAACTACAGATTCAACTCATACAGGAAGGACAACTGGACCAGCTGATTCTCAAAATGATGCAACTCTGGTCTGCATGTGTCAGGTAGGACAGGTCGACATGGCGGATATTTTTGTTAGGACACCTGCTCTAAACATCTGAACATTTCTCCATGTGGTCACACCTCAACAGCGTCACAATGTGTATTTATTTACAGATTTTATTTTACTATTCTCATGCAGCACTCACACTGGGTGGCCATGAACTACATGAATTGTATTTAGGAGAAACAACATTTTATGTCGAAGATGACACATCACAACATCACAAAAAAGAAATTACTTTTTGACAGCACCACACCGTGTTATTTCACTTGCCTCTGGATCGCAGGCCGTTTGCTGCAACAAGAGATTTAAATGTGTTAAACAGCGATTAAAATGTCTAATTATAATTAGGTATTAAGTAATTGGGAGGTACGCCATTTTTAAATTAGCAACTTGACTTTGTGCAGCTACGTTTACAAAGCAGCCAACACGACGCATAAAATATAAAAATATAGCCACTATTTGAAAATGTTTCTTTCTGCCATCTTTTGGTGAGGATCTCATTTTGTGTCATGGATTGGAGTCCTGTCCACCAACCCATGAAGTTGTAACTTGACTTGATTTCACGTTGGGTTGCTTTGCTTCTCTCTCTCCTCCTGCGATGCAATGAAGGCTCTCAAGGTCGAGATGTTCTCATATTCAGGACACAGGTCCAGCTGTTACAGGGGGTGAAATGGTGATAATTAAAACGGTTTATTTTCTAAACAATGTTGGATGCAGCAGGCTTATAAGTTGCAGGTCAGGAAAAGACGCCAAAAGATGCACAAGCCAACAAGACAGGGAGGACAGAATGTTTATTTCCTTTATTGCTCTGAATATTTATGAGCCTGTTAACTTCCAACCATCGTCAGGACTGAAAAAGGAAAAGAAAAAGTCCAGTTGCCTTCACCAGAGCACTTATGATGATCACTGCCAGCAGTGCAGCAAGTTTAACATCTTTATATTACATATTAATAGTTTTTATTTCATCAAATGAGATTTCTTACCTCTATGTTCTCCACGTGTTCCTTCGATTTGGTTGGTTTCTTCTTCCTGAATCCAGCAAATCCAGTATTTCAACAACAAACGGACAAAAGTATATATCTATAGGTCAGAATATATTTATGAAAACAGTAGTGGAACTACATGTGTTTGCTGATATTACCTCGTCCAAAGAGAAACAACAAACAGAAGAATCAGCAGCAGCAGCACGGCGACAGCCGACGTCATGATGTTCATTATCTTGAATGTCTTGTTTCTGCACCCTAAAAAGACAAAGCAATATTTTAATGGAAAATGGGAACATAAACGCAAAATGTAAACAGAAATGGACATACCATCAGGATAAGCAGACGCCTTTGCTGACTTACTTGCAGCAACAGTAAGATGTATGGCAGATTTGTGACTTCCTCTGCTGTTGTGAGCTTCGCAGTAGTAAAGGCCACTGTGCTGTCGGCCGATATCTGCGATGGTGAGATTTTGTCCTGAACGTTGTGGCGTTTCCTCGTTTTCTTTGAACCAGGTGTAATTAGCGGCGGGGTTTGAATCGCTGATGCAGGTGAGCGTCAATGAAATGCCCTCCACGATCTCACCAGACGGACTCAACGACACAGAGGGAAGCTTTGGAGTGTCTGGATAAAGATGAGAACACATGCAGGCAGTTTTTTTTTATGAAAATGTATCTATGGCCCTAATATGCCATCGTGGGGTCTTGGTCACAATGCTTTGGCAAGAACTGGTTTGTTTTTGTTTAATTTTGGCATTTTAGCAACAATCTGGATGAGAATTTTATTGCCATCTTTTTGAGAAATCAAGAAGCTTCATATCTTTAAATAAGATATCTTATGTATCTTATTTAAAGGAAAGAAGATTTTTCTTACATTCCACGTCAATCAAGATGCCGTCTGACGTCGTCCTTTCCAGAACGTTCTCAGCTGTGCAGAAATATTTTCCAGAATCAGACGGATGAACAGACTTGAAAACGAGTTCTGGGCCTTTGCTGAGGGGATTGGCTTCATGCTCCTTGTACCACATGTAAGTAGCTCCTGGATTAGCGTCGGCGCTGCAAGTCAAAGTCACAGAGTTTCCCTCCACGACTCCACCTGGAAAACTATGTGAAACGACGGGGAAGCTCGGTGGGTCTGAAAGAGAAAAAAAGAATTGCATTTTAGCATTTGGATAACCTCTGTTTCAAGCGTCGTTGCTTAGAGGCTCAGGATTGTTCTTCTTGTACTAGATGTACTTAGCTGTTGGATTCGCATCACTGCTACAAATCAGGGCCACTGAGGTTCCCCTCACTACGTCACCAGAGGGTCTTAATGCCAAAGAAAAATTACAATTTGGCTCCCAAAATCCTCCACGTTAGCAACAGAGCTGTTTGGTGGGGCTTTTGTGACCATGGTACACAACAAACCCACAGTACTAAACAATCATATGTCAGTTACGAACAAATGATTATTTAGTTTTGCCCGAAAACCATCATCAGAAATCTCCTTAAGTTTCAAAAGCCTCCATGCTTTTCCTTCGAGATGCAACCAAATATTTGCAATCTCTGGAGAGTTTTCTACAAAATCCTCCTTGATACTACTTGCTTTAACAGTTTGCTGGTAAACTGAAGTTCAACTCAACAGCTTTTTCCACTGCTGCCTCCAGAAATAACAAAAACGTTTGCAAGTGAGAGCTGACACGCTTTAGGTGTGAAACACAACAGGAAGTCAGGCGGCTGGTGTCAAAACAGAAATGCATGTAGTTCAGCATAGTCGCTCAGACATGTCAAATATGCCAACTTGGTTTGATCGGGGACCAAAATTGGAAGGTTTGTTATATGTTCAGCTGCTGTGGCTCACTTTCCGTAGTTCTTGCGCCGTGCCAAGAACTATGGAAGAGACTGTCTCAAAAAGCTCCAAAGAAGACCAGTGCAACTTCCTTCTTCACAAACTGTAACCAAAAATGGAGTTGTGTCCAATTTTAGAGGTTATAGGAACAAAACAAAAAAGAAGCGACGGGTCATTTCTCCCTCTAGTGCTAGATTTGTGTATTTATTTTGCCTCTATTGACCCAGAATGCTTTGAGCTACAGTTTGTTTCCTGCTTTCGGAGTGTTCTCCTGTCCACTTGCGTTCACAAATGAACCAGAACAGAGCTCACTTCAGTTTGAACCGAGACCAAGGGTTTTAGGCATTTTTGGTTCCCATTAGTTTGATTACATATTCACACCTCCCTGCGTAAACCGGACAGGTGTGAATGCCCCCTAAGTCAACAGTCTGAGAGTAAGTTGAGACAACCTCCACAAGCCCCCCAAAATAATTTACTTACATTTTACGTCGATAAAGACGACTTCAGATGTTCTTGATCTCAGCACGTTCTCAGCTTTACAATAATACTTTCCAGAGTCAGAGGACTGGATAGACGTGAAGACGAGTTGTGAGTCTTTGCTGAGAGGACCAGAAGTGTCCTTCTTGTACCAGGTGTATGTAGCTGCTGGATTAGCATCACTGGAACAAGTTAGGGTCATTGGGTTGCCCTCCACAATGTGACCAGAGGAACTCAGCGACACCAAGGGAAGATCTGGCATGTCTGGAATAGAAAACACAAACTGCTTTAGCGCCTTGTAACATCAAACACATCATTTCTGGTACTAGTTTTTATTGTACCACAAAATTAAAATTTTCTTCTGTATTGAATCAATAGAGTTGTTTTATGACATGCTTTCTTCTGACTGAGCAAAACATTACATCACCAACATGAATCTTCAAAGTTATGTGTAAAACTCAACTGACACACTGCCGGAGACGGGAACTGTCTGTGTCCTGCTGCAGCGCACGAAACGCGCTCCGCGTCAGAAAACGTGTACGAAAAAGACGAGGAGTTCTGCGTCAAAACGTCCTGCCCGTTCTTGATCCAGATGTAAGGATGTCGGTCAGGCAGACATTTGATTTTGCACGTCATCTCGGCCAGAGTACCGCTCTGTTTGCGCTCCCATTTGACCACTTGCAGCTCGACGGCTGAATTCAAGACAACACAACAGAAACTGAAATCATTTGACACAGTGAAATCAACAAAGTGAAATTAAGACTGAAATTATTACCAGACACTGACAAAGTGACCCCTGGCGAGCCGGTGTATTTTCCACTTTGGTGATTGGTTATGAACCTGAACTTGTAGACCGCAGAGTCGCTCTCTCTTACGTCCCTGATAGAAACGGCGCAGCCATTTTTATACTCTATACGACCTGCGTAGTCTTGGTCAGCGTTCAGATCCACAGGATCAGTTTTTCCCCCTTTGGTGTACCATATTAGTTTTCTAACTTCTGTGACCGTATCCCCCTCTGTGTCTGGATATGTGAACTTGCATTGCAAATCCACCGTTGAGCCTTTTATGGCGCAGATCTGTGAGGGAAGGTAGGTCACGCTCCAGCCGTTCTGACCCCTGACCCCTGCAACACATCAGCAACTCAGAGTGATGTAAACCGACAGGACAAAAATGCACAACCAAGGAAGAATATTGATTAATAGATGTAATGTGTCATTTTTATCATTTTTCGCTGATATGAGTCACTTGTGTTTGTGTTTGGAACCAAGTGGTCGGAAATATTTTCTCAAGAGAGATCGGTTTTAGTGTTTTAGACGTTTGGTGCACAGACACAGTGAAAGGTCATCCAGATCCAGATCAGGGCAGATATTGTCTTATCAAACTGTGAGTTCATTAAATTCCTGAACTGTCCCATCAAACGAATGAGCCCTGAAAGTAGCCGGGTGACGGCCTTATTTCCTCTGTACCGAAAAGATAAAATAAACCAACGGAATTTGATTTGAATACTTTGATCAGCTTCCCGATTAATTTCACATAAATTTAACTTGTGTAAAACCCAAGGTGTTGCTGGTAAGCCATGCAAATAAATATATATAATATATTTTGCCTATATTCAAAATAGGCAAAATGTGTTAAAATGTATGTTTAGGATGCTTAAGCCAAAAAAAAAAAAAAAGCCGACTGATTTTACAGGCAGAAACTCTTATGAATCCATCCTTGGTGCTTTGGCTCAATCACAATAACTAAGTAGAAATTATCAGTAAAATTCAGCAGAATCACAAAGTTTACTAATTTTGGACTTGGACTAACAAATGTTAGTTTTGTCATAAAAATACTAAAAATGTAATTTGTACAATTTATGAAGTATCTCAATGCAGATATATCTGCAATTTATTTATTTTTACCACATACACCAGATATTTACCATATGAATAGGAACTTATTTTTACCCCCATCCCTCTTATATGCCAATATTACCGTTCACGTTAGTAATTAACATCTGATCCTGTTCAAGTCTCTAATATTTCAAAGCATTGTGAACAGATGCAAGACACTTTTTCGTGTTTCAACACGAATTAACAATAAAGACCAGTAGTTAAAATCCCACAGTGTTCATGTTTCTAAGGATTTCTGAGGATGTGCAATACAAAAAAATTACAAGGCATTTTGCAGACAACTACGCGTCTTCAGGAAAATTTTCTTCACAAAAGGAAAAAAATAAATAAAACTTGAGTACTTCTGTATGAACAAACCGACTATAACCAAGCAATTTCTTCCAGTAGCCTGCCATACAGAACATGAGTCCACACGTCCCCTGATAGTTCTGCTTTATTTAATGGAAATATAAGGAGTAAAACACACAGTACCTGACTCGGAGAGAAATGCAAGAAGTAACGCAGCCACTGCAGTCCAATGCATGGCTTTTCCCTCCATCCCTTTTTGTGATGTCTTCACGTCTTCATGAGGTGATAAATGATGATCATAAATGATTTGACCTTCAGCACTGATGGCTGCCAGTGAAGTCACATTTCCTCTGTGGTCTGTGGTTTGGACAGAGCAGCTAAAATAGCCTGATTAGTTTCACACCATTTGAATTCTCAAAAAGAAAATAACAAACTTGCGCGTCTGCTGGTAACTGGGTTGTCTGGTAGTTCACCTTCATAAAGGCTGAAATGAATTCCTACCAGTCGCAAAATGAAGAAGAAGAGGCTGACTTCATCGGCTGCGACATTGCACCCGGTGAGTACAAACCTAAATCTGTCAGAAATGGTTTTGTACTATATATAAAAAAAATACTACAGAATGTTACGTTATAAAGTTGCTGATTGCAGTTTTAGGACTTAATAGCAGTCGGACGAATGGTTGAAGACATTTAGACACGTTTGTAACATGTTTAGTATTGTTTTTGCCGGGAGAAATACGCGGGAAGCTAGCTACATTAGCCTCTTGGAGCCCAGAGAGTTCACCTGAACCTGCACTTAATACATTTAATTAGCCATGATATAGTCACAGAATTGTCTATAGTCATGCTTGTTGTAAAATTTAAAATGTTGTAAAATCATTACAGAGCCTCTAGGCTGTAATGATTCTTAAAGTTTTATCTACGAGCCCCTGTCTGAATACACTGATTGCAGCTAGGTCATGTACTTGAATTAAAGACAAACTTGGGTCATTTCAGGCAAAGTTGTCTCCACGTGTCTACGTTGTAATAAATAACTTCTGAAATCTGAACTTTTGTTTTTTTTTATGTCAACAGGTTCTTCTTCGATCTCATCATCCCACAAATATATTTATGCTCCTCCATAGCACCCACAAAAGGAACTTGTAAGAGCCACGTCTGTCAAATCTGTTTGTCATTTTTGTGTCCTTAGTCTATTGTTCTTCATTTAATTTGTCAACTGTTCTGTTTGTTTGTTTGTTTCTTTGTTTGTCCGTCCGTCTGTCACCATGAGTGTCTCAAACATCCCTCATTCATTAATGGTAAGGTGGAGAAAACGAGACAAAGATGGAAATGAACTATATGAGAGGTCAAGATCAACAAGACATTAATTACCTAAAAGTAAGTACTTCTTTTAAAACATGCATATAGATGTAAGACTGCAGATTATAAATGTATAATGACAGTAGCCTTTTAGCCTGTAATGACATCATGCCTGACTGAATTTTATGCACTCTAGATTTCTGGAAGAGGTGTTTGTGGTGGGCAATGGTCAGCAGCCAAGGAGACCTCTCACAGATCCAGCAGCAAACTGGATGAGGAGGGATTGGAGCTAGCGGTGTACAGACATGAGATGCTACTTTGTGCCCTGAACATGCACAGGGGTGAGAAATTTGCATACCCCTTGTACTTGCAGCAAAGGCTGGCCAACAGACGGATCACATTTGTTTGCATGGATGTAACATGCAAGTACTGGCCATATCTTGAGAAAGTATCAAAAAGCTGTCCTGAGCTCCAACACCTGCTTCAAATGAAGCCATTCCTCAGTTTCCCATGCCAAAGCCCATGACTTCAAATGTGAGGTAAGGAACACTGACTAGACGTGGAATAACCTTGCTGGAACACAACTGCATGAATGTCATTGACTCAGTTGACATTGTTTGTGTGTGCATGCTTTTATTTAGGCTAAGTGGAGTGGAGCATATCAAGATGGTGCTGGTTTGACTCTAGGGGAAGAAGTTGAGCAGTGCAATGCATTTCTCTCAAGGATCGCTGTTACGACAAAACATATGTCAAAAGCTGGTGAGAAGACCAAAGATTGCTTTCCTGAAATTATAAGTTATTATGATAAAGGGAAACTCTTACTATTGTGGGTTTCTTTCTGTTTTCAGGACGGACAGACATGTTGACTCTTATGGCCATACGCTGGAATCAGCAAAAACTTGACAAGTTGGCCACTTCACTAACCCATCGATATCAGAAGGTAGTGAAACTGTTGACGTTTGTTAATTCCTATATATGCTGTGAGCTGATTTTTTTTTTTCTTTGAAATTGATAATGCAGGCCACAAAAGCTCTTCAAAAGCAACATCAGAAATCGGGAGTCCTTAAAAATTGAGCTTGTGGTGACTGACAGTCAACTTGAAGACTGGGTCCGTGATATTAAGGAATGGGCAGAAGGTGAGCTAATACAGTTCAAAATCTAGAGGAAGTTTCAAAAGTACTTCTATATTAACCGCATTTCCCTTTTTTATCATCATCAGCAACAACTAGCACAACTGATCCGGACTCCTTGGCAGGCAGAATTGAGGTTCTGGCTGCGAGCATCAAAAGGCGACCTCAGGGTCTTTACAAAGACACAGACGGAAACAGACGAGCCAAGGATTGTGCAAAATAAGAAAGGAGAAAAACATCTTAGCATTGGCTTTAGAAGACTACAGCAAGACTTACAGGCACAGAAGCACTGTCTTTGAAAGAGATCCTGTCCTGCGACACAACATTACCATGGAAGCAATCACACGGTGCTAAATAAACATACACTAATACATATTACACTGCCATCAGACCTGACAGATAATGTGGATAGATACTCCAGGTGTTGACCTAGACTTAATGACCAATTAAAACTGAGTTAATTTGTGTTTTTCATTAATCCTTTTCAAACTCTGTCAGTCTTGCCACAAAAAGAAGGGCATTTTTATAGCATAATGACAGTCTAGAGACTGGAAGAGGAAAAGAGGATCCTTGTAGGACAGATGGACAGTCATTGGAAATCTGTCATCCTATGAAGACTCTCTAAAGGAACTTTCTCGCCTGTTATTGAGAGGCAAATTTAAAAGTATGTTTTTAAGTGACGTATGAACATATGAATAGTTAAAGCATCTGAAATTTCTTTTAATTGTTATTTTTACTTATGTTCAATTTTAAAGGTTCATCCTGTTCCCTAAATGATGAAGGTCTAAGAGGTCTCCAGAGCATCATCCTCAGAGAGCTGCAGCACTTAAAACAGATGAAACTGCAGGCAAGAGAATATTATCTACAGACTTTGTCAGGAGCAGAGAGTGTTGGTTTTGACAATACTTCTGATGACGACTTTGGTAGTGACTTCTGATAATAGTCAGTAATTATTTGTGCTGCTAACAAAGATCTACACTAGTGTGACAGTGTTCATCTCCTTCTGGACAATATATGTCATGCCACCTTTGACGCCAGCAATGAGATACTGCTAAGGTAATGGGTCTTACTGACCCGTCACTATTAAATGTAAAAAACTGAAATAACTTTCTTTTTTTAAAAAACCCTGTCATTTAGAATACGCAAAGCTGTGTAAATTATACCATTAACCTAATTGTGACTCGTGTGCTGCCTACAGAACGTGAAGCTGACTAATAATCCCTCCATGGCTCATCAATGCTTTTACCAATTGTTGAACAAGTCTCAATTGTCGCTGGTCAAGGGCCACTATCCAATCATCGTTCCTCATAAATTTTTGTTTTGAGTCCTATTTACCACTTATCGAGGCAACTTTAAATAGAAGGTGGTTCAGCCTCAATTTTAAAAGGTCGTGTTTCTATTTGACTTATAGAAATGTTCCCAGATTCTAATGCATGGTGGCCAATCGCTATTGTTTCATGCTCCGTCCCGATGTGCAGTACTGAGCAAACCAGAAGACCTGAAAGGTCTGGCATTGGTAATTTACCAGGTCTTCATGAAACATCCCCTTTTCTTAGCTCACCCACAGTCAAACACCCCATTATAATCATTTGATGCAATATGGGCTCCCGCTCTTCCCATATCCGTGTCCTCCATCATTTTTTGGCAGTGAAATCGGTTCATCCGTTGTTGGGCCATTGCAAGCTGTTCTTTTTCCGAGCTGCCTTTAGCAACATGAACACCGTGACGCTTGCATTGGGTCTACTGTGCGGCAGCGATGGAGATACGCTGCCGACATGCGAGCTGTGCAGGCGTGCGTTAGAATTATGGCAACAAACGGCAAATGCAAATGTTGAAAATGGACTTATTTAACTGTGTGTGTATCACTTTAAGAGCACAGGGAGCCGTCTGAATAAGCTTCACTCTGATTGGTTCATTTGTCATGTCAAGTTGCCAATAGTTGTTGAAAGAGCACATGTTAAGTTTTAGTTAAAAAAGTAATGTTTGGAAGCCGTCCTGAGCTGTTGTTCCAGAGACTGGGAGTGCGTAAATGAATCAAAGTAAGTTGAATCTTTATTTAAGCAAGATTAGTTTCCTTGTGCACATTAAATATATACAGTATGGCAATTTAAAGAGTTATAATAATGTGCTGGACAAATTGGTAATAGCCGTCTGTGGTCAGCGAAAATAATAGCTCTTTATTTGTTTGTTTTCTGTATTTTTTGTAGACCACTCTCAGCTTTATTAAAGAAAACCAAGACCTGAGAACTTCCTTATCATTCTTGACCGGATGCTCGTGTTGGCTGGTCTATTTAAAGAACACTAACTAAAGGGAGCACAACAGCAAAGCACGTTGCGCAGTTATTTATTTTTTCTCCCCCCAAACCAACCGACCGAGTTCAGTAAAGCGTTGGATAAAGGTGACGTCAGCTGATGGATGACTGGCTAACAATACAGCACGTTAACCTCGTACGTGTTGGCTACCGATGTTGTCGCAGATGTCCAGCTACGTAGATTCATTGTGCCCCGTCATCTGTCTGGAAACATAACCGTTCTCCGCTATCAAGCAAACCGTCCCGTATTCTGATATTTCAAGCTCACGTCCCATCTGGTGCGTTTAAGTCCGATCTCTTAAACAAGATCAACCAAAATCAGTATGGCAGTGTTCCAGGCCGTCCCGCCATTTCCTGGTCTAAGCAGCTTATTCTGTAGCTTGCTCAGAAAGTACAGTCTATTTCAATAGACTGTACTTTGTACATCCACATCAACCTTCGAAACACTCAAAAACAAATGTGTACAGTGCCATGTTTAAAGGATTTAAGACTCTAGGTCAACTTTTACAAACCAAAATGTACAAACAATCCTGTTCAACATTTGAAGCCTCAATACGGGCAAAATAACTTGTTCATGCAGTGACTCAACCAGCATCACTCAGTCTTTTACAGAACATGACAAAAATGTGTCAATAAACAGCCAAACATAAGCCGAAAATATTAAAAACTTTCCAATACAGTAAAACTGCAGTTATAGAAAAATGGAAATTACAACTTTGTAACAAAAAAAAAAAAAAAAAAAGAAAGAGAAACATCATGGAAGGACTTGTTTGCTGTCTGAAGGAAGTGGCTCTTGGGGGACAGCAACATGTGAGCACAGCAAATAACAACGTGTTTGGTGAAAATTCCTGCGCACCAGAGACTCTTGAAGAACTTCTGCAGCAGCAGGGCCTTTGGCCTCTTCCAACCAACTTTTCATCATGTCTTGATGAAAAGTTGCATGTAAGTGAGTTTTATCGATAATGTACAAAGACATTTGCACAAGAAAGTATTCCAAAAATACTTGCTAAGACCTCATGTTTTCGCAGTGTGGCTCAAACATACCCCTTTAAATTGTGAAACCAAAAAGTGTTTAAAAAGACATCTATTCTTTGCATCGAGAAAAAAAAAAGAAGAAAAAAGAAAATATTGTATTTGCATGTCAATATTTTCCAAATTTGGCCATTACATTACGTTTACTATAACTTGCTTTAAAACACTTAATTTTTTTAAAACATTCCAACTCTTTATTTAAAAAAACTGCTTCTTACATTTATTAGCTGATTATGCAATACCAAAGGCAGGTGCCTGCAGCACCCTGTGTGTCATGTACTTTGTGAAAGTACATGACACACAGGCGTAGTACTATAAGGCATGTATTTGCTTCTGGAAAGACTTTGTTAGCCTGGTGGTTCAATGTGGGATGGAAGCAAAGTATCATCTCTAGTGGGTGATTTGGCAACAAATGCATCTCTAGTATAGGTATGGGACTGCATTCTCCTTCTGAAAGACAAAATGTTGAAATTATTACCTTGTTATAAGGTATCCAGTGTGTACTCTTAAAGACATGGAAGAAAATGTGTTGCATGCATCCTCTGGTCCCCAGCGCTCCTCAGTAACGATCCGGTCACTCCCGTCCTGCAGCCCGCTGCTGAACGGCGTCCAGATCAGCGTGGTACTCTTGGGTGACCAGTCTTCCGACTCGAGCCCTCCGGTCTGTTGGTACTCTCAGCCTCTGGAGAGATATCCTGTACTTCTGGTGCAGTTGAGGGTTCTGGAAATAAACTCCTGGACATTGCTGAGGTTGAGTAGTTTTCCTAGAACATGTCCGATACATTTCAAATTATGGTGGAAGAAATTACTCCGGATATACCATACTACATAAAATAATTTCTGTGTTCAAAACCATCATACCTGTGACACGTCTGCTTGTGGTAGAATTTTGGAAACCTTTTCCTTCAGCTCCCTCACAGAATTCACTTGCTTTTTTTTTACCTTTTGTCTTTTTCCAGCTCTTGCCAGTTCAAAGCCAACTAGATTTACATTGATGTGTGGGTAGCTTTGACACACAAAGTTACTCAGTTCAGACAAGTTCCAATTCAGGTTAATTTTGGACCTATTGGTTTCTGTCCTCTCATGCACAGGGTTGCCTGAATAATCAACGGTGACAAAGCAAAGTTAAACACAATAAGAAAGAACATGCCATTTAAGTTTAAACTCATCAGCCCGTCAGGTGACTCTGGGAAAGAGTAAAATTATGATAAAGTGGTGACTTAAAACCCAAATGGAGATGTTGAAAGCAGAAGTGCCTCCTTCTGTCACATTATGCAGGTGTATGAAATAATGTCATTTTTTAAATAATATGCCCAACTAATCCATGGTTCTTCAGGCTTTATACATCCGAGGGAGAAGGAAGAACGTCAATATTAGGGCCAGAAAGCAAGAAAATATTTGTCTTCCATGCAATGCTTAGCTGCCTCCCAACCGAGCCTGCAATGAACACAACAGAATCAAACTATTGATGCTCCATTGATGCTAACTGATATTCTGTAACATTGAATATGCTAAGTGGAGTTGCCACCTTTCATAAGTTACAAAATGTCAATTACATTGTATTCAAAAAGACAGTTACATGGTTAATCCTCATTGTGAAAAAGAAAGAAATCCAACCAAATTATGACCCAAGAAGAGAATCTTCAGGTACTCACATAGCCTGTCGGAGAGCAGTTATCTTTCAAACTAGATAAGAGGGTGAAAAGTCCCAGGGCATAGGTGATGCAGACATTGACAGGAAGGACTCTCCAAAAAACAATTCAATAAGAATATTCCTGTTTCACATAGGGGTTAAACAAACTCACACCAATTAAGCAAAGGTTATGAATAGAAAACCCATTCTCAGCAATTACAAATTATTTGAATAATCATTATGTTAATTGTGTTTTTTCAAATAATTCCAACATTTCTATGGATTTCATACACATGTTTAACTTTTAAAAGTACTACCAGTCAAAAATATCACGGTTTAATTCTGGCCCCCAATCAGCAGGCTGAGGTATTTTTGTACATAACCCTTGACTTTCGATTATATCTGCCACTAAAATATTTCCTTCTTGTTGGATCAGAGAGACTTTTGGTCTTGTTGTATTCTTTTAATACATCTTCCCCCCTGTTTTTTTGCGTAGAGCCACATAGACAAT